ATTATCAAGTTATTAAAATCGATTAAAAAAATCTGCATTATTAAATAATTTTTAAATTATATTATATTATTAAAATATGATGAACGAACCGTGCAGCATCAATTCCCATGCAATTTAATAATATGCAATCAAATCCCATGCAATTTTTAAGCCCGTTTCCACTTATGGGACTTTTATTTGACCCGGAAGTATAAAGTGCTCTTTAATACAGAAGGAAGTGTGACTTCACAAAGAACAGTTTTACAGTTGATATCATGGCATTAGATGTGAAGTCCAGAGCGAAGCGCTACGAAAAGCTGGACTTTCTTGGTGAAGGACAGGTAAACGACATAACTTTGCTATTTCTGAGCTGTTGTTGTTCGGTTTTTCAATTTTTAGTGTATAGCTGCAGCAGCTCTTGCAGGTGCATGACAATCGTTAATTTTATCAATGTATATATTGCCATTAATGCATTGTACAATTATTTTGCAGTTTGCAACTGTGTACAAGGCAAGAGACAAAACCACAAACACCATTGTTGCTATAAAAAAGGTAAGACACTTCAGTTAATACTTATTGAAAACCATCACTTTTGATCAAATTCTCTTGTTTTAGTATTTTGCATTGGGTAGTAGAATATTTAGATTTTTTTTAATCATTCCTAAGTACCTTTATGTTAAAAGGTGAATTTCTTGTTTTCAGATAAAAGTGGGGCACAGAACAGAAGCCAAAGATGGTGCGCATTGGATATGTCATAATCTTTGATTATAACTTTTTTTTTTGAGTAATCAGTTTAATTTGAGTCTTATATATACACTATATATATTCTGTTATCCAGGCATCAACAGAACAGCGCTTCGAGAGATTAAGTTGTTGCAAGAGCTCAGCCATCCAAACATTATTGGTGTAAGTCATGTCTATATTCATATAAAACTTTGATGCACTGTTGTTCATTATATGCTAATACTGACATCAATGAACCTGTTTTCTATCTCAGCTCCTGGATGCTTTTGGACACAAATCCAACATCAGTCTTGTCTTTGACTTCATGGAGACCGATCTCGAGGTGACAACAATGCACTTGGACATTTATTGTTTATCTTGGTAACTTCAACAACAAACCTATCACAGAGTAAAAAGCCATTAAGAACTCCAGTAGATCAAACAATAACACAGTATAAGTATGATGTTTATCCCTCCTAACTGTTTGTTCATTGCTCTTAAAACACTTTACATAAATAAGTAGTTGTATTATGGTCTGTTTCAGGTGATTATAAAGGACACCAGTCTTGTATTGACACCAGCCAATATAAAGGCATACATCCTAATGACGTTACAGGGTCTGGAATACATGCACAATCACTGGATCCTGCACAGGGTGAGGCTCCATGCATCTGCTCCATGTGTTTTTAATTATGCACACTACTGTTCATAAGTTTGTGGTCTGTAATGTATAATTTCCAAAGAAATTAATGATTTTCTTCAGCAAGGATGTATTAAATTGATCAAAAGTCATTTATATGTTACACATGATTTCTATTTCAAATAAATGCTGTTCTTTTGAACTTTTTATTCGTCAAAGAATCTTGAAAATATGTACTGTTTTAAGCAGCACAACTGTTTTCAACATTTATAATGATATGAAATGTTCATTGAGCACCAAATCATCATATAGGAATGGTTTCTGAAGGATCATATGACACTGAAGACTGGAGTAATGGCTGATAACATTCAGCTTTGCCATCATAGGAATAAATGACGTTTTTAAAATATTTTAAAATAGAATGGTTATTTTAAATTGTAATAATATTTCATAATACTACTGTTTTTACAGAATTTTTGGTCAAATAAATGCAGGCTCGGTGAACAGTACTTGACTTATTCCCAAAAACATCCCGATGAAAACTGCTACTTCAAGTCAGCGTTATTGTTTTCTTTTTTTAGGATCTGAAACCCAATAATTTGCTACTGGATGAAAATGGAGTCCTGAAGCTGGCTGATTTTGGCTTAGCCAAAGCGTTTGGAAGCCCGAACCGAGTGTATACACATCAAGTTGTTACAAGGTTTGTAGAAGTCTCTGATAATGCAGTAATGACCTTTTACAATAATACTTGGATCTTCTCTATTATGCTATTGTTTCATTTTTCATGTTGTGGGTACTTCTCAGATGGTATCGTGCCCCAGAGCTGCTCTTCGGTGCCAGGATGTACGGTATGGGTGTGGACATGTGGGCAGTTGGCTGCATTCTTGCTGAGCTTTTACTCCGAGTGAGTATCTGACTTTATCCAGGGTTTGTAAAACCATTTGGCCCTTCTGAATACCTTTAGGCCCTTTTCACATTTCTAGGATTCTCAGAAGTGAAAGCTGTCATAGATGGGTAAACTTCTATAGTGGTGAACAGAAACTATAACAAATACAATTTTTTGTGTTCCCATTTTCTCCAATAGCAAAAGAAAAAAAATCATGATAGTGTTTCTATGACTTTGTAAAAGAAGGAAAAAATATGATTACTTTGGTTTGATTGATTACTTTGGTCAGAAGAGAGAAAGATGATCTTTTAAAAAATGTGTATCCCCTGGCAGAAACAAGTTTGCATATTGATTAAACCATTAACATGTATTTTAAGAATTGTTTGTTCTTGTTCCAGGTGCCATTTTTAGCTGGTGATTCAGACTTGGACCAGCTGACAAAGATATTTGAAGCTTTGGGAACACCAACAGAGGAGACATGGCCTGTGAGTTGTAGTTATCTTCTGAACTTATTTGTAATTGAGAGAGTTTTACTTCAGCTTCATTTGCGTATTTCTCAAAACCTTCATTCTTTGTGTGTATATGAGGTAGAATTAGTGATTTGTGCTGGTTTTTGTTTAAGGGGATGTCCAGTCTACCGGACTATGTGTCATTTAAGCCATTTCCTGGCACTCCGTTGGAGCACATCTTCAGCGCAGCTGGTGATGACCTCCTGGAGCTCCTGAAGGGATTATTCACCTTTAACCCCTGCACACGCACTACAACTTCACAGGTGCCAGTAACTGGGTCGCAGTTCATTCAACTTAAAGGGGTCATATGATGCGATTTCAATATTTCCTTTCTCTTTGGAGTGTTACAAGCTCTTGGTGCTTAAAGAAGATCTGTAAAGTTGCAAAGACTAAAGTCTCAAATCCAAAGAGATATTCTTTATAAAAGTTAAGAGTCAGCCACGCCTACCTAAAACGGCTCGTTCTAACACGCCCCCACATATCTACTCATTACACCAAATACACAAAATAATGTTATTTTTAGCAACATTATATGACCCCATTAATGCTTAAAGCTAATCTACATTAGAGAGGGTCTGAATGAATGGATATTCTCATTCTAGGCTTTGAAGATGAGATATTTCAGCAATAGACCAGGACCCACCCCAGGACCTCAGCTTCCCAGACCAAACTCCTCAACAGAAGCCCTGAAGGAGAAAGAAAACCTGTTGATTGGAATCAAGAGAAAACGTGACAGTATTGAACAAGGTGAAGGCAACATGCAAAAATACTAGATAAATGCATCCGATAGCTATCAATGTTGTTTAATGCTCGGAAGTGGTGTTGACTGATGAATTTGCACATGGTCTGACTTGAAGCATGTTACCAGATGGACATGTAAACAACATTAAAAACTTGATTTTCACCACAGGGGGTCTTTAACATTTCCAGTGGTGTTTTTGTGTGATTAACGAAAGCTGTCAATTAGATTACACCAGTGTGTAACAGAAAAGGATAATATATAATAAAACTGGGATTGAAGTTTGAAATCTAATTGTTTTTTTCCTATCCCATTTCTCAGGTACCCTTAAAAAGAAATTGGTTTTCTGAGTGATTTGGATGCTGTTTTCTTCCACTGGTGCTGCTGTGGTTCTGCATGAATGGCAAATGTGCTGTTTACATTTAACAGAGTTACGGAGTTAACATATTTATGTGTTAATAGTTTAATTATTTTTTTTTATGTACTTTAGGAAATTAAATTATAGAAAAATGTAGTTTTGCCTGTTGTGTCTCTTTTAATTATGCACATCACCGACATCTGTCACTAGCATATTCAGTAATATTTTTAGCATATACAATAAAAGCAATGTCTATGTGATAATAATAAATGTGATATTAATAATAGTTAAAATAATGTAATATTTTCAATTGTAATCATGTTATATTTTTAAGTAATGCTTATAAGAATTTGGTGTGGTTAATTTACTGAAATCCTGGTTAATCTTCCAAGCTTTATTATTGTTATTATCATCATCATAAAGCGATCTAAGGCGGTTTGGTTTATTTGAAACCGCATCTGTAGTCCTGAAGGCGGTGCTGTTGTCACAGCTCTGTAACTTCTCTCTTCCAGTAGAGTGTCAGTGAACTGGCTGCACTTCAGCCAAAACTTTGTGATATGTTGAGAGTAATGTTTACAGACAGAATTTCAATAAACGGAGACCATTTAAACCGCACTAGTACTACACAAATACTTTCTGTCTCGATGTACAGGTCGTTTATTCAACCTAGTCAACGCTTACAGTTGAAAACGTATGTTCTCTGCAACTTGCATACTTCACAGATTTGTCAGTGATTGATGGAATGCTGTCACTGGAGAACACTTGCATGAGCAAATTCAAGCCAAACCCCCACCTATTACCCTGTATACATGTAAACAAATCAAGTACAACCACATTTTTGACATGAGCTGAAACAAAGATATCCGAATTGGAATAACAATATATAATATAAACATGTGCCTGTCCCCTGTCCCCTAGTAAGATTTGGTGCGGTCAGGCTATAAAAGAGCTCTGAATTATGTTTTTCGTCGTCATTGTGGTTGAGGGAACTCTAAAACATCACATTATGACGACAGCGGAAGTGATATGCGTCGATGAATGTATTTGATTTGGATGTAAGATCAATAATGAATGTGAATAAACAACAAAGCGCCACTGTCACCCAACACGGCTCTGTGATATGGGATTTATAGTAGGCCATCGTCTCACAGACTTCCGCACAGAGCCGCTGCTCGCGCACGCCACAGTCTATTGTGCGCGGGGGCGCGCGGCGCGTGCAGGGAGAATCGCGGGAGCACCGAACGCTCGAGCCACGGTCGCGTTATCAGAACCTCACGAGCTCAACAATTGAACTGGATCGGTGTCTGTAAGGAGGATTTGCCTCGCCGTCAGCATGTGTGCACCGTGTTGTTTGTCTCAGGTGAGTGATGCATTGACGGTACGGCATGAAGAAACATCACCGTCTTTTATCATCCATCGTGAACCGCGCGGAGCACTCGGGTTCTCCGGTTTAAAATGATTTTCTGTAGCGTTTTATGCTGATGCTTTAGAAAAAGTCTAATAATAAAAGTTCCGTTCTTTTAACGTATATGATTGTTGTATTTGTCAATGTGTATCTATCAATTTCAACTATAAAAGCAGTTTTGCTGTCACCTTGTTTGTTCTGTGCCAGTTACAGTTGTGAGTTCTCAATAGTAAATGTGCTGTGCATCATTTCATGAATATAGTAAATCATATCCGCATAAATTTCTGTTTTTTTATTTAACAAAACTAGCTATTTGTTCATTTAAAACCCGTTGTGACCATGAAGATACTAGACAATATACTGCTGGGGGGAAAAAACACCTTAAACCAACCCAAGATGTTTTGAAGTCTCCCTGCCTGGTCAAACTGTTATCTAGTTTTAGAGGGTTTTGGGACATTTTTTCAACCTGAATCCAGCTAAGCTAAATCCTGTTTGGATTGGCTGAGAGACCCGCATAAACCACCTAAGACCACCAAATCATCTTAGGCTGGTTTAAGTTGTCTTTTATCAGCAGGCTAATGCTTTCTGCTGACTTTACAGGGCAGTATTTTCCCATCAACTGTGGTGTCAGACTTATCGTTTTAGTCAGTATTTTATCTTGCTCCGACAGTCAGGAAATTTTGTCACCACTGTGACTGACCATGTTCCGTCTTCTGTCCTCATTTCATTCCGGTAAGGACAAATATGTCCGTATCTGTCCTTGTTTTTAACTGAACCATGTGAATCAAATTTGATCAAATCCAAATAAAACAGACAATATTGGACACCCCACCAGGAAACACTTAAGGGCTAGATGTGGTAAATGAGTGTCAGTGTATTGTCTCCTTCACATTCTCGGTTTACTAATTTCTCTGAGGGCCAACTCGTCTTGTAGCCCCTTTGTACGTGGTGGGGTCCGCGGGTGGTCTTTTCATTTCCTGGTTGGATCCGTGTGGCTGCTTGTTTGCATAAGATTAGCAGTGGAAAGAGAGAGCTTGCAGTCAGTGTTGTCTCATTAGCGCTAAGCTTGTCAGGAGCCAGTGGCCCCACAAATGTGTGGAGACGGGGGGTGATTGGCATTATGTAGTCTCAGTGTTTGTTAACTAATTGCTATCATTAGATAACCCTGCTTTGTTTAGCTGTTGATTCTGTTTTGATGGTAATTGATTCCCTCTTTATGCCAGCGACAGTAGCATTTATTAACATTTGTAGTTTCCTCATCCACATAAGCAACCTCACAAGACAACGCTTATGTTGTAATATCAAAGCAATTAAAGTAACAGGTAGGACAGTCAAATTTAGCTGTGTTGTCCATTGGCATATCATTTAAAAGGATAGATCACACACAAAAAAGAAAACTCTGAAATTATTTACTTGCCCTTATGTTTCTATAAATTTGCAAGACTGATTTTCTTTTCAGAACATAGGCCCTATAAGAAGATATTTTGAAGAGTGTTGTTTTGACTGTTTTTGTCAAAGAGGTGAATATAAATGTGGTCCAAAACAACATTGGCCAGAACAACATATCCACTTAAGCTGCAGTTCTCTTGTCTGCCGCTTTAAATGTTGGAGCTATTTGAAGTCAGCTGGATTCAGTGTTTTTATCGATCATCAGCTGGGGAAAAAAAAAACAAAAAAAATGTTTTGAAAGTGATTCCAAAAATTCAAAGTTACTGTTTGTAGCACTCTGTGTCATTATCGTTATAGCTGTGACTTCCCTATTATCATAGAATTAGAAAGATTATTAAAATGTCATAATTATAGTTAAGATTATAACTAATTCATGAACACAAATGAAGATTTTTAGAAAAGAAAAATCCATGGTTACACTTTATTTTAGTGTGTCCCTGTAACTGCACATCTAACACAAGTACTAAGTAATATTAATTAATATGTTAGCCTACTTTAGGGTTATGTTTTGGTTTAGGGTTATTGCATGTAATTATGTATAATATATTGTTATTACTGTAGTAAGTATGTGTAACATGTAACAAGAAGACTATAAAATAAAATGTTACCGAATCAATTTCGGAGTTCATATTAATGAAAGTGGATAGTAACCCCAAAAATTTGCACTTCAAAAACCCGCTTGACATAAACATCACACTTCGAAACATGATGATGTAATGCTTGCAGGGATGGGTTATTTTTTGAAAAATATTGTTTTGTGTTAAAATCATACACATGTGGAATGCCATGAGGGCGAGTAAATGAAGAGAGAATTTTCAAAATTGGGTGGAGCGTCCCTTTGAGATCTATCCAGCAACAGTTTGAAGAAGCCTTCTAATTATTGTCAAGATGTAAAGCAAAATATCTTGTTTTGTGACATGTTTTGTGTTCAAGTGTGTGAAAATCTTCTCAGCTCTTGCACACTGGACTGTTTAGTCTTGTTCTACTGGGAAACATTATGGAAATCTAACTGTGATATCTCCATCAGATGTCTGGGCTTGAGTCATATATGACTGCCCTATGAATCACCCGTGATGATGCATTCTATAAAAAAGGTGGTTTTATTGCCTGGTAACATTGCACTGTGAAAACATTCATGTCTGAATACCATTGCAGATCTGTTAATACAGGAAGGGTATTCATTATCTTTCATTATCTAATGGTAATGAATTCAATGGCACACTGTTCTTGATCAGGCCTTGAGATAACTTTGTTTGTAAGATCTCGTTTGTCTAAACACCCTACGTGAAAACTGCAAAATGTGTAGTGTCTCCAGTGTGCTACTCTGTTTTGACTGATGAATCGGCATAAAATCTGAAAACGGCTGAAGAAGACGTCACCACGTGTGTACCCCACATTCCATTATCCTGTGGACTTTTTGTAGACTTTTCCAAGTTCCTCAAATCTCAGCTAGTGAGGTTTTTTGTTCTAGCGAACTGAAATGAGGCTTTTGTGGCAGGGCTATCTGTGTTGACTTTGTGGGTAGAAGTGAGGCATTCTCACCCTTGTGAATTTCACACAGCCTTTACGCATCTCTTTCTCTCTCTGACTTCCTCCATTTCACCATCGTAGAGGGTGTTTACTCTTGTCCCATTACTCTGTATTTGCAACTGAAAAAGCTGTCAAGCAATCGCCATCCATCCATCAACGTCGTTCAGTGTGATTCTAGCAGGAAGGCTTGACTCTTCAGTGTTACTATGGGTACTCTTCGCACTGGACAAAAGAGCACTTTTTTTGTGTACACTTCAAACAGTGAAGTAATACATTTTTGCCTCAGCTGTACAATTGCCTGGCTAGCAGATCCACAAAGCAGCTATTCATGACATGGAGACTATAGAATTATTGTTTGCTGAGTTTCGACAGTAATCATACTTGAGCTCAGTGAAATATATCAGATAACTTGGTCTATTAATGTTCTTGGCCATTTGTAACATACACCAGAGATCAGTTTAAATTGGGTTCGAATCGATTAGCCTATTTGTTTGGCTGCCAAGCGTCTTTTCAAGTCATCTAGTGTTTTAAAGGGGTCATATGATGTTAAAAGAACATTATTTTGTGTATTTGGTGTAATGAAATGTGTTTATGAGGTTTAAGGTTCAAAAAACACATTATTTTCCACATACTGTACATTTATTGTTTTTCCTCTATGCCCCGCCTTTCTGAAACACGTCGATTTTTACAAGCTCATCAGTCTGAAAAGCGAGGTGTGTTTTGATTGGCCAGCTATCCAGTGCGTTGTGATTGGCCGAATACCTCAAGCGTGAGACGGAAATGTCGGGTTTAGCTAGATTTATTTGGAGGTTATTGCTCACGTCTCATTCGGCACAAATCCTAATGTTTCCATATTCGTAATGTATTTGAATGTTAAACTAGAATTTATAATGTAAACTAGGCTTGTACTTTACACATGAAACATGGACAGTGGTCACAAATTAATAAATCGTAGGAGCGAATTAACAAGTTGTAGGAATGAATAGCCAATCTGTCCTGTGTCCCGCAGCCCTGCAAAGCGCAGAGCCCGATATGAAAGAATTATCTGGGGAAATGACTTAGTTACTACATTTCTATTGCTTTCCATGTTGAAGAACTTTGTGTTGTTTCTATTTTAATGTACTTTTAAAGTTTAAATCACACTAAAAGCTTAATTTGTAATTATGAGTGAATGATGATGCATTTATATACCGTCACCGTCACTCACAGCCGCTCGCACGTGTTTTGCGCATGAGCCGCACGCAGCCCAAAATTAAACGACTTAATCGACCATCGATAGCTTTAATCGACTGCATCTCTTATCGACAATTAATCGATCATCGATTAATCGTTGACATCCCTACTCCAAAGAGAAAGGAAAAATTGAAATTGCATCATATGACCCCTTTAACATCTCTGTTTTAATTATGTAATTATTTAATAATTACATTTTACTAATTAAAATGCATATCTAATCAGCTGAATTCCTAAAACTTTAAAATGGGGAATTGTTTCCATGCTTATTTTATTTGACAATTAATAACATTACAGCAAAGAACTATAGCTTTATGATGGATTTTTATTTATCTATTTATTTTTTTAAATGTAAATTCTATGAAATTCTGAATTTTACTGTCAATTCCAGTAATTAATTTGTATTATTAAAAAGCATATCCAATTCATAAAATATACTCTCCGAACAGGAAAATGTTTCTGTGTTCATTTTATTTGACAATTATTGAAAATACAGCAGAGAACTACAATAGCATTTTTATGGATTAAAAAAAAAATCATCATTTAAAAATGTAACGTTCTATAGAATTCAGAATTGTATTGACAATTCCATCAATTTAATTGATGTGTTCCATACATGCTCCTTTTATTTGACAATTCATGAAACGACAGAACCAGCATCGAGTTATGGTGGACTTTTTCTGGACTTATTTCTTCTAAACTGTGAAAAGTTTGGAATCTAACCAGTTATTGAGTTAACATTT